TCCAACTCTGGCATCATCTCCTACCAACCCCCACAGCCAGAGCCTCCCCCACTTAGCCTTCCCCCCCCAGCCCAGAGCCCCAGGCTTCCCATTTCTATGAATTTTCTGGAAATGACTCCTCCAGTCTCTGATTATCAGAGGAGCAGTCAGTCCTCCTTTGCAGCTGTAAAACAGGTCGCCTGCCTGCTAGCGTAAAGTCCTTGTGACTGGCAGCCTGGAGCCAATGGGTGTTGCTGCAGTATCTTGGGCAGTTTGGAACAGGTCACATTCCAAAATCCCCATGTCCCTGTGCCAAAAACAGCATCACAGTAGGCTGCTGCACCTCACAATGTGGTTTAATTTAAATCCAAATTTGACCCAAATCTGCTCAGTGCGATTGAGAACATGGCAAGGCACTGGTGCCAGTTCCCCTGGAATATGTCAGGCTTAGGTCTGAGATGCAGACTCAGGGGCTAGCTGGATGGCTAGCTCCTGGAGCGGGAGAGGTGCTGGGCTGGGTGTCAGCCAGGCACATGTTGGTCTCTGCCTTAGTGGGCCCTGAGCAGGCCTGTTTTCAGCTCCCCATGCTGGGCACCCCAGGCATGGACTGAGCACATACAAGGAGAGATTCATAAGACTGGGACTTTTCAATTTGGAAGACACACAACTAAGGAAGGATATTTGGGATATAATGGCACAGCCAAACAGATGCTTGTCAGTTAACACTACCAGCTACATGCAACACCCTGTTCTCCCACCTCTGCATTTAAAGTATTTTGGGAGCTGATGAGACGGCACGCTGGCTCAGTTCCACATCATGCCGGGTCTTGGCAGCTACCCTTGCTGCAGCCTGAAGTGTCTGTCCACCGGCTCTCAAAATTCTTTAAATGGAGAGCCACTTATCAGTTGTGTAACCAACAGCATTTGTGTCAGCTACACAATTACCGAATTATATGCTTCCTACCACCCCTAAGGGATATGACAGAGGTCTATAAAATCATGACTAGTGAAAGTAAGAAAGAAAAAAGACAAGTTACCTGTTCTGCAACTGGTGTTCTTTGAGATGTTGTTCATGTCCATTCAACATAGGTGTGTGCACCTGCCATATACCAGTGCAGAAGTTTTACCCTAAGCAGTAGCCATAGGGGCTGGGGGTCGTCCCCCCCCCCAGAATGGCGTACATATGCCACACTATATAGGACACTCTCCAGCCCCTTCCTCATTCTAGCTTGCTGGAAATCAACAGAGGGGAGGAGGGGAGGAAGTTGAATAGATATGAGCAATACATCTTGAACACCACCAGTTATGGAACACCAGTCTTTCCCAAGAGTGCTTCCTCATATCCATTCACTGTAATGTTTATGGAAGTGGGTAGGAGTTCAGGACATGCAGACTGCTGTACAACCCTGCCGAATGCAGCATCCTCCCTAGCTTGCTGTGTGATGGCACAGTGAGAACTGCAAGTATAGCGATGTGGTCATCAGTGCACTCAGAAAACAACCTGGATTAGGACATGAGTGAGAAATGCTTGTGAAGAAGCTCAAGCTCTAGTAATGGGCCCTGATCTTTCCTCTTAGACTTCCCTCAGAATCTTACCTCTCAATTCCCTCAGTTTGCATACAGTCTGCCTTCTTGAAAGCCACTGTCTTTATTTTGGCTGTTCTTCCTCCTAGTGTTCCTTACAATCATAAATTCACTCATTCGGATAAATTTAGTTAGTTTTAAAACTCTGCTTCTCTTACACCCAGAAGCAGAAGAAACCCAATGTGGCCCCTCATGCTGGGCAAAACAACACTGGCTGCTCTTGGATTCCTTTGTTGTTGATTGTAAGCAGGGGGTCAAGTCTGGGCTGTGCTCAGTGCTGTGCTCAGCATCATGAAGATCTTGATCCCAATTAGAGCTGGGGGGTCCCTGCAGCAGTTGGTCCTAAGGGTGTCCATTCCTCACCCCCAGCACCAATGTTCCCCCCTCATATTTTTCCATCCATTTATAGAATACATTTTGTTCTGTGCACCAAGGCATGTGCAGATGTGCACCACCAGTAGAAAAACATACTGCTAGTTGTCAATGCACTGCTAATCAGCTGGGTGGCCTCCTAGCCGCTCAGCTTAGAGGGAACACTGCCCAGCAGACATTCTGACTTGTTCGGCCTCGTTCTTCTTCCAAAGGAAAATCTGCCCCACTTGTGAGGGGGCACAGGGGAAATGACACTCCCCAGAGACCCATATTTCAAGGCAGGGGGGTTCTCCAAAGAAATGAAGTTTATTGCCCAGAACAATTTGCCATCGCATAATATATATATATATAAAAAAATGTTTGTTTCTCCTCTCACAACCCAGTGTATAAACTTGTGTCCCCCCACCCCCCAACGTACAACTTCACTAACACAAATAACCAACAGGAGAAAAAAGGGTGGAGGTAGAGATTGTCATCTCCCTGCCCCTCCCCCACCCGCTTTGGGTAGAAATGGTTCCCTCCCCCAACCTCCCCCCCAAAGCCGGAGTGTCCCCAAAATTCAGGTGTAGAGGGTGTATTTATCATGACCAACCTACCCCCAAAATGTAACAAGGGAAACTGGGTTTAAATATGAAAAAAATATAGAACCAGGAGTGGGGCCACCCCCCTAAAAGTAAAAAAAGTCTCCCAAAAGTCTGGTTGAGGGAGGGGGATTAGCTGTCCTCCCCCCCCCAAGTTTGAAGAGTTCCAATGCTACAGAGTTGGTGCCCATACCCCCGCCCATCCTTCTGGGGTTCAGGGAGCCCCCCCCATGGGCAAGGGGGGGGAGACTGTGTCTGTGTGTCAATCCGGAAGGGAAGAGGTGTGTGGGGAGGGAGGGCGTCTCACACGCTGAGTTTGCAGTGACAAAGCTCCTTGTACATCTGCCGCCGCAACTTCGGCATGTCCTGCTGGGTGAAGGTGAATGCCCGGCCCAGCGCCAGAAACTTGCAGTACTGCGGGGGGATGAGAGGCAAAGAAAGGGTTAACCAGGGGAGCAGAGAAAAGCTTTTCAATACAAGGGATGCTGGCACTAACAAGCCCAGGGAGGGGACTGGCTGATGTGAGGGGAAGGAAGGGAAGGGGAATGGGACAGGTGCCAGCTCCCACTCAGTCTCAGTGCAGGGACTGGTGGAGGTGAGGAGGGGAATGAGGTGTGGGGCCTATCTCCTCTAGGGAGCGCTGGCTCCCATCCAGTCCCAGTGTACGTGAGGTAAGCTTGTCGGGTTCTGGCCCAGTTCCCAGCACCCTGATCACTCAGCGCTAGTCCAGCAGTAGGGGCAGAGCAAGACACTCCCCAGCAGCATGACAGGGAAATGCACTGTGGGATCACAAGGGAGAAAATGCTCATGGTATCCTTGCAACCTCCCCTATGTGGAGACAGTGGGGCAGGAGGAGATGACAGGTCTGGGAAAGGCCAAGTGGCTGTTCATGTTGGAAGGGGAGATCCAGGCCATGGAGGGGCACAGCAAAGAGCCACTGCTCCCACTCACCTGCAGGACAAAGGCTCCACAGTCGCTGTCGTTATTCTGCCTGGCCACGTTCTGGGGGGAGGGGAGGACAGGGTGAGCCCAGGCCCAATGCTGCCTTTCCCACTAGGTCACACAAGGGACAATCCAACCACAGCCACTGGCTTGGCCAGTCCCAGTGTACGTGAGGTAAGCTTGTCGGGTTCTGGCCCAGTTCCCAGCACCCTGATCACTCAGCGCTAGTCCAGCAGTAGGGGCAGAGCAAGACACTCCCCAGCAGCATGACAGGGAAATGCACTGTGGGATCACAAGGGAGAAAATGCTCATGGTATCCTTGCAACCTCCCCTATGTGGAGACAGTGGGGCAGGAGGAGATGACAGGTCTGGGAAAGGCCAAGTGGCTGTTCATGTTGGAAGGGGAGATCCAGGCCATGGAGGGGCACAGCAAAGAGCCACTGCTCCCACTCACCTGCAGGACAAAGGCTCCACAGTCGCTGTCGTTATTCTGCCTGGCCACGTTCTGGGGGGAGGGGAGGACAGGGTGAGCCCAGGCCCAATGCTGCCTTTCCCACTAGGTCACACAAGGGACAATCCAACCCCAGCCACTGGCTTGGAGAGATAGAAACCAGGAGTCCTGGTTTCCAGCCCCTGCTCTAATCCCCTCACCCCCAACTCCCTCCTAGAGTGGGGGAGGGAATCTAGGTGTCTGGACTCACCATCTTAAAGGAGCCCTTCCAGCCGTCTCTGAAGTCTGGCCGATCCTTCTTGTCTGCTTCGGCCTGGAGGTACCTACAGATGTGCTGGGGGTTGGGGGTGGGAAGCAGAGGTGCACAAAGGGGTGAATCAAGGGGGAAAGGCTGATGGGACCTGGGGGTGGATCTGCTAGTGCACACCCCATTCCCTACCCCCTTGTGCCAGCCAGTCCCTGTCCTGGGGGAGGGAGCAGGTGCACCCTAGAGGGAATAGGCCCTGTTTCCCACCCCCTGCATCTGGTTACCTTGGGACAGCGGCGGTTGAGTGTTCGCTGCGAGTCAAAGTAGGTGATGCTCTTCTGCTTCACGTCCACAGAAATGAGGGACCAGTGCACCTCCAGGTGAATGGGGATGAGCAGTAGCTCCTTATTGAAGATATCCACCTGTAGGGGGCACCGCACACTTAGCTTGCTGCCTGCTTTCTGCTCCACAGCGCCCCCTAGTACCTCTATGGGACCATCCCTGCCTGCCAGGGGAGAGCACCCCCTGCTAAGCCCCCTCCCCGGCATACTCACATTTTTGGTCCAACGTTTCACCCCCTCGTACCCCTTGGTTCGTAGCTTATCGTAGAAAAAACTGTTGAAGAAATGGACCTGGGGAGGGAAGGAGCCTCCGCTTAGATACCAATAGTCCTGGGCTGGACTCCTCCACTAGTCCAGCTGCAGCGGATCCTCCAGGCTGCTCCAGACTCGCAGCGAATCAGGAGTTCACTACACAGAAGGGGTTCACAACTCTGCACTGAGATTTCCCTGCTGTGAGGTGCAAGAGTGAGATCCATTGTGGGATAGGGGTGACTTGAAGGACAGAGCGGGGGATGGTACCCATGGGTCCTGGCCACCAGCCCCAACCCTGCTCCCAGAGCTGGGGAAAGAACCCAGGAGTCCTGACCCCTTCAACGTCCCACTTTGTAATCTGGGAGTTCTGCCACTCATCAAGTCTGCTGAAGTTGGGGGCTGGACTGATTTACATCAGCTTAAGGTTAGGATGTATGAAGCCTATAGCTGGGCTAGCAGGGGCTGCAGATAGGGAGTCAGGTTGTCAGTTCCTAAGAAAGGCAGTTCCTTAGAATGACAACATGCCCTTGGTGAACTGGGGCTGAGCTGCAGGGAACTGGATGCAGTGGGGAAAAGGCATACTAAGAGGACATCAGTTTGAGGGCTGGAAGCATGTAGGGGGCACTATCACTCACCTTCTCTGGCACTGTATCCATGACAAGGTCCCCGTACATGTTCATGACCTGCACACACAGCGGGGAGGAAAAAGAAAGGGTTAGGATTAATGTTCCCTCTAATCTTTTCCATCTATGTGCAGAATAATTTTTGTATGTGCACCAAGGCATGAGTGAATGTGCACCACCAGCAGAAACACAAAATCTAGCTGTAGGCACTCTGCTAATCAGCTGAATGGCATCTGAATTTCTCCTGAGCAGCTCCACAAGAACTCAGCTTAAAGGGAACACTGATGAAGGGCACCACAGCTGTCTCTGGACATGAGGCCCATCACTGAGATGCAACCACTTCTGGGGCATGGTGGCTGGTTACACAGGGACCCTTTGCTTGGCACTGAGGGTATGTCTACACTACCCCGCTAGTTTGAACTAGGAGGGTAATGTAGGCATACCGCACTTGCAAATGAAGCCCGGGATTTGAATTTCCCGGGCTTCATTTGCATAAGCGGG